TCGTTATCTTTTCCGCTAAATGTAGGTAGTTGCTTTATTTTATATTCTACCATTGACGTAATAAAACTGTTTGTTGATGGCTTTTGAATAAAAGAATTTGTTGATAATGGTTGATCAGTTAAGATTGACCATTATTTTGTAAATGACCCAGACACCAGTATTTCGTTACAAAATGTCATTCGATTTCCGACTCTGATAGGTGTAATAATGCATAAGCTATTTTCAATAGAAATACGTCCACGTTGCAAAGCAGAGTTGCATTCGCGTAGATCCTTCACATTAAATCAAAAGTCGTTTGCCCGTCGTTCAAATGCACAGTTGATTTTTCTTATATTCTCAGCTGAATGAAAAATTCGAAGTATTTCAGTCTTTACAATTTCCTCGTCGTATTGGCGATCAACAAAGCGAACCACAATCGCAAAAGCATCTGGTACATAGGATGGTTTAATAACTTTAATGTTCACATTTCCAATTTTATCTGGCCATATATCTGCTGATATCAATTGAGCATAATTTTCTTTATTATTGACGCCCACTTTCAATTTATTTCCGGTGTGAACCACGAGTGAAAAAGATATATTATAGCCATTTTGTACAAAATGTTGTTCTAGCAAATTTGCAGCCATGGTGTCAGATGGAAGATCCCCATGGGGTGTACTATCGTCATATTCGATGAGGAAACAGGGCAAATTGCTCGACACAGCACGTTTTAACTGATCAAATGTATTCTGCGAGAGTTTTGCTCCTGAGTTGCTTGCTGTTGTGGCTGTAGCTGTGGTGGTTGCTGTTGAACGGGTTGTTCAGAAGGGCATCCAGTAGACAAAGAGGTATTTATGCCATTATTTGACGGCAGAGCACGATTGTAAAGAACTCTCTTGTTTTGTTGTCTACCGGCACTACTAGAGTTATCGAGAACTCTTTTTGAGGATGGGGTAGATGTTTGTTGAGGACCTTGTTGTAAAGCAAGAGAAGAAGAAGCAGAATTGATATACGTCTGTTGATTTTCAAGTAGCTGTTGATGCACTCCTAAGGCATATTGTGGATTCGTGCGAATATAGTTGACCAAGCTTTCCGTATCATAAGGCATATTGGAGTTCAAGTTGGGCCGTTGTTGACTATTTTGCATCTGATTAGACGTGTCACATTGTAAGGTCATGGGACCTAAAACGTGACTACTGATAAGTAGAAGAAACCTCCTCTCGTTTGTAATCACGTTTTCACATTCTTATCTGATATGATATTCTCCTTATTGTCTAACATTCTTATATGGTCCGATATTTTATCTTTGTATGGTACGACTTTCTTCTCGTATATATACGACTGTATTTTACATGTTAGAGGATGCTTTTTTGATTTATCAAATAAACCATCTGTACATACAAATAAGTTTCGAACAAGTTAGATGAAGCCTAACAACTGGTGACAGCGGTACTTGCTGTGAAAATTACACCATCACAACAAGACGAACTCTACGTTACAAGTGGCTATTTGTGGATATTTAACATTTTAAGGGAGAATTATGAGTAATATAGCCGATAGAACACGATCAAAAGCAAACAAATCACGAGATCCAAATATTGAAGAGTCGTATAAAATATTGTATCCAACAACTCTAAAGTTATTGAGTGATCCACTGATGAATCCAGATAATACTCAACATAGTATTAATGATGATGAACCATTTCAGGATGATAATCAAACGACTAAACAACAAACTACATCAAGCACCCAACACCAACAGAAATTCAATGTTTTCAGTGGTAATCAATCAAATTCCACAACCTCATTAGTTGATAAACATATGAATGTCGCAACACAATTACATATACAACATCTATTAGATAGTATTGTCGATTTTCGTGGTACAAGAGATGAAGATATTGTAACGTGGCTACAACGTATTGAACTAGTATCTGAGTTAGCTGATTATGTGAAATTTAAATGGATCAAATTAACCGCATTACATCTCAGAGATCAAGCATTGCAATGGTACCATATACATAAAGATGAATTTTCTGATTGGTACATATTCAAACAAATGTTAATACAACAATATGATACTCCTTTTAAAAATTCAACAACAAAAGGTGTCGATGACTTTAACTATAGTGCTACGAACAATCTATTCATGGCACCTACACCATTCAAATTGAATGAAATAACAATTCCACAACAAAAATCATCAACAAATCTTCAACCATCCGTAGCGAATATTTTTGATCAAGAATTATCATCAAGAACAATCTTAACTGATCAACCATTATCAACAAATTCTTTTATTCAAAAGCCATCAACAAACAGTTTTATTACGTCAATGGTAGAATATAAAATAAAGCAACTACCTACATTTAGCGGAAAAGATAACGA